CCTGTCTAGCAGAATAAAGCCCTGTATGAAGCACCTAACCATGACCTGCTTGTTTCTTTCACGAACCTTGACTATACTCGGACGCGATGCCGTCTCTGGCTTCATGACGCACCACTGCTCCCAAGACTCTATGCAAGAAACCAACATTACAGCCAAACGCTTGTTTGTGGCAATCAACAATTAGCTGACACAGCGTATTTGGGAATAGCTATCCCAAAATTAGCTAATTTGTTAGTAGTGAGGGAATAATTTTATTTCGTGTTACGTGGGAAAGGGCGTGTGTGGACCGGTGTGGACCACACGTGCACGACTGTGCTCATTGTGCGTGCTTGAACAGAGCGGGGGACTGATACTGTGATGAAGACCAAAAGCTGGACGTAAACGTAAAGGCCGAGAAGAGAGAGAGAGAGAGAGGGGGGGGGGCGGGGGGAGAGAAAGCAGCAGGTGGGGTCAAGCCCTTGCGTGCGTGCGTGCGTGCGTGCGTGCGACCGTGCGTTGACCTATGGCCGCTCGGTGTTTGGCCTTGAGTCCCGCCCCGCCGCCATAAGCCGCCGGCACACTTCCAAAAACACAACGCTTTCTTGTGTAATTTCCGAATGCATTGCAAAGATAGGCTTTGGGTGCATTTCCTCGACTATTGTGGTGCCGTATTGTTTCGGGCAGAGTAACCAGTAACCTGCCGAGGACTGCCGGCCAGGGGATTACCGGCGGGTGGGGGAGGGGCGGGGGCGGTCCGGCCCCGGCGGCACGCGACAACCTGTCAATCACACAATAGGACGAGCAGCACAATTGTCTACAAGTAAACCCATCGCACGGGCCGAACACCTTGTTCAAATATCAAACTTAAAATTTTTCTGGGAATAGAATCATGAGGAGGTTGAGCCGCTTCCATTAATATAAGGGTTTACACCAGTATCTTTCAAAGTAGAAAATATCATCTGCTATTAAAACACTAATTATAACTCTCATTGGACTCACAAAAGTCACATCGGCTATGTACGACCAGAATCCTAGAGGGATTGGATGTCCGAAGGGCATATGGTCCCTGAAATGCATGTCTTAACATAAGAAGTTGTCCAAAACGGTGTTCAAAAAAGGCCCAATTTTAAGTTGACGAAATCGTCCATATTGCGGACCATTTCATCCGTATTACAGGTAAATTTCATCCATATTACGCTTGCACAAAATTATCCGTAAGCGAGTCCGTAAGGAAATGAGAGTGTAAGGCTTCGCTTTTTGCGCTTTAGCGGGCGCACGCGAAGCCTAAAAAAATATGTAAGCGCCTGCGATCGGTTGGTTAGGCAACCAGACTCGCAGCAGGGGGTCATTCGTGCCACACTCGCTTTCAGCACGTGGGCGAGAGATGCGAGCGCAAACGCAACATCTCCGTACTTCCTCTTACAAAATAGTTATCGTGCAAATTAACGGCTATAATGATGAACATTAGGAATTCACCACTGATTAACCCGAGGGGGTATTCACTACCACAAAACTTGTACAGAGTACTCGGTATTAACACCGAGATAGTGGTATTACTTGGCATTACGCCGGTATTACTCGAGGGATTGGATGTCCGAAGGGCATATGGTCCCTGAAATGCATGTCTTAACATAAGAAGTACCAAATTAATTGTGCGGGGGTAACTCGCGGGCCCGCGAGGTCCATTGGCGAGTAAAAAAAGTTCCGACCAGAAACGGATCGTGAAAGCAGATGATACCTTGTCAAGAATTACTCTATTCCAGTTTATTAGTAGCCCGCCCTTCTGCTTTGAATTATTCTATTCCAGTCTATTATATTTCTGTATTTACACTTGTAGGGAAGGTGCGGGGGCTCCAGCGGTGCGAGGGAGGGGGAGGACTAGCGTAGACTAGCGCGGCCGACGGCTCGGGGCTCGGGCTCCGGTCGGCTCGGCTCCGCTCGGCTCGGTTCCACCCGGCTCGGCTAGTGGCTCGGGCTGACGCTACGGTGGCTGGCGACGGCGGCTGGCGACGTACGCCGCCTCGCCTCGCCTCGCCTCACGGCCCCGCCTAGCAGGCCCAGCCCAATACGTGTATGAGCTTTCTTCTGGTTCTTTTTAATATTTCTTAATCGAGAGTAAAAGCAATGACACCTTACATTACTCATGTATAGTTATATGTATGTTAAGTGTAAGTAAGTTTAAGTTTGTAAGGTATCATCTGCTAAAAAGTGGTAAAACGATGGTA